AGGAGGAGGAGGAGGAGGAGGAGGAGGAGGAGGAGGAGCTTTTGTATAGCACAAATTCACTCTCAACAGCAAGCTCTATGCTCTTTATAATAATTTATACTATTACCCCAGCAGACCTGATAGCATTCTTAAACAATCACAACTTCCTGGGAAGCATACAGTGCCATTTATAGGCGCTAAAACACTAACATACTGACAAGATCTTTTACCGTCTATGGCTGAGGTACCCATTCTTACCTGGGTGAAGTGAGGGACATTCGCGTAAAGTGCCTTTCCTAAGGCCACACCATCGGACCTGTGGCTCGAACCCCCGAACCCGACATCTCACGATTACAATGTTGTCCAACATCTTTCGATGGCAGTGTAAAACACCAAAGACCTTTCCATAATCTTTTTCTTCCAGTAACAACCTTTTACTATCTTCCATCCCCAGTAAAGTGGCGTTGGTAGCAGTAAGGCTACTGGACTCGTAATTGTGAGATTGCGGGTTCCGAGGTTCGAGCTTCAGCTCGGTCCGACGATGTGTCCTTTTAGAAAGCACCTTACACGAATTTCTTGTATGGATCAATCCTTTCGGAGATGAACGTTAAACTTGGATATCTCGCCTCTTGAATAATTTAATAGTACTGATAGAAGAGTTAAACCTCCGCCATTTTTTGCGTGGTTTGCCTCTTCTTTTCTATCAAACAACTGTGGTCCTTATTTCTCCTTTTTCTTTTTACGAGGCGTATTAGTCTCTTGTAACACATCTAACCTCCAGCGCTTATATAACTGTATTGTGCTGTAAATACCCGAAAACTCTTACTAAAGTTAAATTAAAATCAGAGGTTCCGCCTCTTAAATAACCCAATAATGTTGATAGGGACGCTAACCCTATACCAGTTCATATTTTCACATGTCACTTTCCCAGACACATCCGTCACAATATTTCCGTCCCAGCAACATCCTTTACAATCTTTTTCTCTAGCACCATCTTTTACAATCTTTAGTTTCCCATCAACATCGCTTACAGTATTTCTTTCACTGTAACATTTTTTACACTCTTTCTTTCCCAGTAACATCTTTTACAATTTTTCTTCCCCTAATACCTTTTACAATCGTTCTTTCCCTGCATCTTTACAATCTTTCTTTGACAGCAACATCTTTTACAATCTTTCTTTCCCTGGAACATATTTTACAATCTTTCTTTCCCTGGAAAATCTTTTACAATCTTTCTTTCCCTGGAACATCTTTTACAATCTTTCTTTCCCTGGAACATCTTTTACAATCTTTCTTTCACTGGAAAATCTTTTACAATCTTTCTTTCCCTGGAACATCTTTTACAATCTTTCTTTCCCTGCAACATCTTTTACAATCTTTCTTCTCCAGCAACATCGCCGAGCGTCTCCGGCGACGGCGGAGTTCTGTGGACCTTGCAATGAACATCTACCCGGGTGACCTGCTCGTCCAGGAGCACCACAAGAAGCTCATCAAGCGGAACACCATCGCTGACTTCTACGCCGGGAGACAGCCCAACGGGGGGCCTCTGCCGCCGGGGGTCGGACCCGGTGAAGGTCAGAGAAATCAAATGTTTAATATAATGTCCCGCGCTCTTTTGACCTTATAAAGCTGTGAGCGCCGAAATTTACTTTAAAATAAAAAAGATGAATAACTGTTCATCATGTTTGTGTCTTTCTGGTTACATGTTGATGTTGTTGTTGCTGTTATTGTTGTTGTTGTTGCTGTTTCTGTTGTTGTTGTTGTTGTTGTTTTTGCTTGTGATGGTGGTTGTAGTGATTGTGAGAGTGCTTCTGTTGCTCCTGTTGTTATTGCTTTCTTTGTTGTTGGTGTTGTTGCTGTTGGGTTGAAAGCCTTGCAAAACCATCGTGGATGGCACTCTTAGAGGCACTCAAAAATGAGGCTGACAAAAAAAAGAGATGGTCCAAATCATCAAAGAATGATTTGGTTAGTAGGCAAGAATACTCTGTTGCTTTTAGCAATTTTAAATATCCATATTTCGATACTCCGAATACATTTTTCTAGTTTTTAGGAACAAACATATAAATTAACCTTCGATGAAGCCTTTTTGGAATCTTTGTAATATATTCAAGCCTGCTCTACCGGCCACCTGTCTAAGACAACACGTACAAATGAACCCCCTACTTGCATTTTTTATATATAAAAAGGCCCTCATCTATATACTGCAATTACTTTTCTCCTTAACCTGTGGTCGACTTAGACAATGGTCAATTTTATTGCAGTTTACTGAAGGCAGGCTAGTGGGTGGTTTGTGGGTGCTCTGATCTGGTTTGCCCCTTCTTTATTTTCAAATATCTATCGTCCTGGTCTCTCCCCTTTTTTGTGTTACTTATTTGTATTACCTCTGCTAAAAATGAAATAAAATAAAATAAAAGGCAGGCTAAAATGCTTTAGCGAGAGTGATACTTTACCATCAGGTATTTGTAGTTAGGATATTTATTTACATGTGTTTGTGGCATAGAGTTACCCCCTTTTAAACTAGAGTCCGTACGAGGTTATGTGACACGGATACATTTGAGTTTGTTGCCGGCCATTTTTAATGTGGCTAAAAAGTTTGTTTACATGTGAGTGGGCGTGTCTCTGCTCTTAGTCTTACGTGTTTTATTTGATTCTAACGTTATGTTTTGATTCAAAGCGATTCTCTTAAAGGTGCAAGCATGTGAAACCTCTTGTCCCTTTCTTTATGAACGTCTTACTAGTTCTGTCAGGCAGTTCAGTGATGTCTGTTTTCTTTTATTACATCATCTTTTTTTAGTGCATAATATGTCTTATAGACACAAATAGTAACTCCGGGTTTATTTTTTAGAGAGCCATCAGTAAGGTTCTGGGCCATGTGAAGTTAAGGTTGACTAGCAGCTAGATCTTTTTCACTATGGGCAGGAAATTTCTTTATCAAACTGAAACAGTGTACTTTCTATTGTTTTGTTTTATTGAATGTTGTCCAAAAACACCTTAGTAAAGGTTTTTGTTTCAGTTATCACTACACTGAGTAGAAAAACAATTGACCAGGCTACAAAACAACGTTAAGTTCACTTTTTTAGCTTTAATGAGTCCAGAGTTGTCACAGTTGTTTTACTAATGTCCAAAATTAGATTTACTTAAAACAGCAATAGAAGGAGCTTTAGTTTAAGTGCTGTATATGATCTACTTTAGTTCTTAAAATCAATATAAACCAAAGTTTAATACCGACATAAGAAAACACTACTTATAATTTAGTATACTTTTTTAAAAAGTGAACATATGAATGAAAAATACAGTTTTTTGTTCAAATGTCACAAGGGAAAGTTTAACTCGATTTTAAAAATACCAGTACATGTATTCATCATTTGTTTGACTGAATTTGCTTTATCAAGAGCTTCATTGCATTCCTACACCTAAAGGCTGAAAAACTCTGGATTTTCTTACTATGGCTCATCCTGATTTATTTAATGCCAAACTCATATATCTGAGGGGGTGAGGGGGGCCGCGGGGGGGGGGGGGGTGATATTGGGATTCGGGAGGAGAGAGAGGGTGAGGTGGTTAAGGGAGGTTCCCATGACACCCCCATCTTTTCATACTTCTTTTAAAAAGTTCTATAGGCCCTATACGCTTTGATTCGGTCAATAAGAAATAAACCACCTCGTACATAAAGTGCTGATGAAGAAATAAAGGTTGTTTTTATTTCTTCTTTTTTTTAAAGCCCATATCTCTATCTCTATCTGTTTAATACTACATTTATTTGTAGATCTAGTTGTAGAAAGAACGCCGTATTATTGCAATTTAGTAACTTAGATATAGTACGCCACGGCGCCCATGTAAAAAAAAATCAACAAGAACCAAGCCTCGCCTGTCGCGTATGAGAGAGAGAGAGAGAAAACATGCCTAGCCCATTGCTTTAGCATGAACTCTTTCACACAACTTGCCACAAACAACATGGCGGACGTCGCTGTCAAATGTGGCCGTTGCGCAGCAAGGCGAGAGAGGGGCGTACTGTATCTAGCACTATAGTGTACATCTATGGATTGTGGACAGATTCTTTTCCTTGACACTAAACAAGGACTTCCTTTTATTTCCCAGGTGGTGATGTTTCAAAGAAAGGAAGGCAGCCATTTTCTCTTCTCAAGCTGGTATGTACATAATGTATTTATTTTTTCTTTGGCTATTTTCGCATGGGGGAACGGGGAGTGTGGGGGGGGGGGGTGTTGTTAACTGCATCAGATGCATACTATTTTCAGAGAATGGGACATTAAAGTATGTGGCAGCAGGAAATACAGAGACGTCAGACAGGGATAAAGGGAAAGAAACCACAGTAATATCTCAATATAATATTATGTCAACTGTTGGTGTACTGTACATAAATTGATTCTCAAAACCATTCGGTTGTAATTTTTGTATAACCGTGCATAGAAATGTTATATTGCTTTAAAAATATATATATATACTACAGCAACTACAGCAAACATTTTGCAGTCTAATAATACGGATTACCCCCCCCCCCCCCCCCCCCCCCGTGGCAGTGCCACTGACTGTAGTGTCTTTAGGCCATTCCAAAGGGGGGGGGGGACATTTCTCGTTCAAGCACAGTAGAATTGTAAATGGGCTGATTCATCATGTCACGCTCATAACTGTGCCTGATCTACAGCAGGGAGCTGCTACTTTTTCTTTCCTAATCCTACCTATTGTCATTTTCCTCTACTTCTTTTGTATGTTTGTCACACTCTTGTGACCTGCTATTTCCGGGGTGCCTTGATATTCGAAGCAGACCTTGTGCTGTTGAAGCTAGAGAGGTGAGCAGAGTAAGTCTGATTCCCTGTAAAGATTTCTCTGTTGACACCCATCCCTTGGCGCTCATATGACCTTATGCAGTTGCGTGAGCCGTAAAACCCTCTACTATTAAAAAAAAAAATAATAATACGGATTTAAGATAGTTTCAATCTATTAACATTCTGAACAAAATTTTTTTTTTTTTTTTTTTCTTGGGGGGGGGGGGGGGTATTTACTTGTGAAAGTCTGTTCAGGGCTTTTTGGGAAAGTCGTAAGTAGGTTGGGGTTTTGTGTATGTGTGTGTTACGGGGAGGGGGGGGGACAGAACGGGAGTGGTAAGGATACCCCGTCGACAAGGTCTTGAGCAATGAGCCACGCCCAAGGTAACGGAAGGGTGAGAGCTCAGTTTCAGCCATGCAGGAAGATAATGCCTGCTCACCTTGATTGTACAAACACGATAGCGGGCAGGAGGGAGACAGCGAGATGCAATATATACAAAAGGTGAAGTGAAGGTACGAAATGATGCTGTCCTTTCTTATGAACATGCAGGGAATGTGTGCACATGTATTCGCATAACCGGCGTCTGTGGTGTAGTTGTTAGGTGCTTTGCTGCCACACGCAGAAGACAAGTGTTCGGTTCCTGGAGTGCGGGGAATTTTCTGTTGGGATGTTGTATCCCACTCAGCCTGGGTTGGCCCTGACAGCAGGAAGGGTTGCAAACCTGACTCCTAAATGATTTTAATTGTGTCCTTGAGGACGTGAAAACATCTGTGTTAAATATATATATATATATATATTTGCACTAGATTGCAGCTGTGCATTCTGCCTGCTATTGCTGGGATACCTGTGAAAGAGTTTGATGACGTGTCAGTATGTAGGATAATGCCAGTGTGTGTTTCAATGAGTATGCGCAAGAATGTTTTTGGGTGCATACGTGCGTGCTTGCATGTGTGCGTGTGTGTGTGTGTGTGTGTGAGAGAATGTGTGTGTGTGTGTGTGTGTGTGTGTGTGTGTGTTTATTAAGCGTGTATGCTTGTATACGTGCATGCATATACACATATTTGCATGCATGCATGCGTGTATGTGTATTGTGTTTATTTGTTTGTGTGTGTGTGTGTGTATGTGAATGTAAGAGAAATAAAAATACATGTATATTGATAAAAGCGAGAAAAAGAGAGATGTTGAGAGAGAAGAAAGCGAGAGAAGATAGATAGAAAGAAGGAGAAACAGAATAAAGAAAGAGATGAGTAGAACTGAGACAGAAATTAAGCAGAGAAATTAGAGGTGAAAGGGAACATTTTTCTGTTGAATAACAGAGATTATTGGAAGTTAAAATAAATGAAGTTAAAATAAATGAGCAAGGTGAAAGACATACACTTGGCGAGGAAATGTTGAGATAATATGTGAAATTTTTACAAAAGAAATGGGAAAAAAGGAGGAAAAAGGGAGCAGGGGAAATAACGTGGGGAAAACCCAACCATGTCAAGCAAAAGATCTGTGACGTCAGAGCTCTGTTCCGATAGAGCCGCGCATTCTTCTCAGTTCAAAGTGTATCAGTGTTTTACCTGCAGCTCCTGGCTCGGTTGAGAACTCTCTATTTCTGTCTCTCCTGGCTTACCTCTTGCCAAAGACTGCATCATGTGACCCGAGGAGCTCGCTGGTTGTAGCTAGGCGCTAAGGTTTGACTCGAGAAAAGATTTTTGACGACTTCAGAAAGAACGTCTGTTGAAAATGGCGGGATTCAATACTCGTATCTTCGGAGGTTCTTCTTCAGTACGTTGTGCAAGTGCATGCGCTTTTTTGTGATATTTAAATCTCCTTGTTTTTTTTAAGTAACGTATTTGGATCTATAATGGTACATAGTGGGTAGGACAATGCGGGCTGCATCTTCTACTTCGTTTCAGTGTGTTACTTTCTTTCTGTTCCACTCATACTAACCAATGATTTCGAAGGAAACGGTAGGCACTTAACTCTCCTTTACAGAAGACGTGGGTTCAGTTAACGTGCGGGAACTTTATATTATCGAGTATCTCTATCTGTCTATTTTGATGTTTCATCAACTTAGAATAGAAACGGTAATTGGAAAAAAAATATTTGTTTGTCTTCTAGTAACCTTGAAAATCTCTCTCCCATTCCTGATATCACGTAGACAGCACCTTGTGTGAAATGAAGACAGACAAAAATTGATAACAATTGATGTTTGTTGGGATTGATTGTTATTCCATGGTGAACTGCCAATTGATTAGAGTTACCCCATACCGTACTACACCACACCACACCACACCACACCACACCACACCACACCACACCACACCACACCACACCACACAACACCACACCACACTATTCTGTTAGGTACATAACCATAACTTACCTTTTCATACAATACCTTCCGCACTTTACCGACTGTTGTTTTATGTTTATTTCTTCAGATGAAAACCCGAAGTAAAGAATCACTCACAAAGTTGGATGAGATTTTGAAACGTCTCAAGCCTTCAGAATTCAAAGACAATCACCTCGCAGCATATAAGGTAAGTTTATCTCGTATTCTGTTTCTTCGTGGGTAGTTTTGTTTTGTTTTTTCCCTTCCTATCGAACATCTATCGTCCTCATGTTATTCTCTCCTTAAGGGTTTTGTCTCTCCTTCTTTCTTGTGTTCGTTTCTCACTGGTTATCTGTGGCACGTATATGACCGTTTTTGTCTTGCAAGTTCCGTAAAACTCTTACTAGCCATATTCCTGATCATGGTAGGTAAAAGTCGAATACCCAGCGTTCCCGTATACAGACAAAGAAATTTCGGAAGTTGCGCACGTTAAAGACCCCTTGGTTGTCCTAAAATCGATAAAAAGAAGGTATCAGCCGCCAACCGTGCAAAATTCTAAATTAGTTCCTACCAAACTGAAAACACTTATTTATGGTCCCTTTCATATAACCATCTGCACTTGCTAGTGCCGTAAAACACGTACAAAAAGCGAAAACAAAACCCCTTGTACTAATATTTAAAAAATACTGATGTTTGTTGTAGCACACAAAGAAGCACAAATAGATGCACTTACAATGTGTGTTCATAATATACACAACTCCTATATATCTCCTCCTTATTTTGTTTGTACGTTACTCTCTAGTAGCATGTCTAATTTTCGGCCCTTGAATGAACTAACAAAAACTAAACATTATAAACATGTACACACAGAAGTACATTCATTCCCTCCTCTCTCTCTCTCTCTCTCTATCTCTCTCTCTCTCTCTCTCTCTCTCTCTCTCTCTTTTTCTTTCTCTCTCTCTTTCTCTCTCTCGTTTTCTCTCTCCCTCCTACTCTCTCTCTCTCTCTCTCTCTCTCTCTCTCTCTCTCTCTCTCTCTCTCTCTCTCTCTCTCTCTCTCTCTCTCTTTCCTGTGATTCTTTTTTTTTGGTTTAGATATGTTGGAATATAATATGGTAGTAGTTCCTTTTCAAACTTTTATCTCCTAGTGTTGTGTGTCTTGGTATTTTTCTTTTACCTATGTTGAACAATAAATTAAGACAGTGGAAATAAAATAGATTGCAAGAAAATTGTTGTTTCTTAGGAGGCTGCTGAGAATAGTTTGGAAGAAAAAGAAAACAAATGAGGTAGTACTTGAAGGACCTCACGTGTGCCGCTCGCTGATACAGGAAACGACATTAATGCAATTTCTGAGACACTTGGATGTACATAAAAGCCATGAAAATCTAGCTCTCTTTAGTACAATTGAATTTAAACAAGACAGGGGTAGGTCCAGAGCTACTCACTTGAAAGGCCTGAACAGATGAGTGACCGGGAAAGATCAGATTGCTTTACTTACTTACTCTCTCCCAATACCGTCAGGCACGTTAAGCGGAGAACAGTGGACGCCATGCGTGCCTTTCTTGGCCGTCTTCTCCAATCTCTGCACATCGAGGCCCTGGGTGATTGCCTCATCCATATATGTGCCTCTGTAGCTCTCAGTTTGTCTACCTCTTTTTCTTTTTTCCAGTTGGTCTCCAATGCCATGCCTGATAGGGCAATTGTGTCTTTTGCATTCTTAGAATATGTACTAATGAATATCTCCATCTGCTCCTTTTTATGTTCGTGATAACATTTTTAATTCTTGCTTTTTCCAACACGACATTGTTTGTAATAAACTTATTTCATTTTATTACAAAAATTCTTGGTAAACATTCAATTTGGAAGCTTCTTAATTTTCGCTAAATTGCTTTATTTTCCATATCTCTGATCCACACGTCAGTGCGACCAAAACATTGCTATTATATATTTTAAATTTCGTCTTCAGTGAAATGGTCTTTGACTTCCAGATAGTTTTTTTAAGTTTATAAAGAGAACCGTTCGTTTATATGTCTTGGGTGGACATTGTCAAGGCAGTCTGCAGTTTGGGAGATAATGCTACCAAGGCACTTGCATTTACTCATTTCTGCAAGAAGTTCACCATAAAGAATGATGGAAATAGTTTCAGGAGATAATGGCAGCCCTTCTGTTTTGGATACATATTTTTTTACAAAGCCAACTGATTCCGCAGCGCTTGGTACTTATTTTTAAAAATTTTTTTTATTACATTTCATGCACTCTGGTGTTTAATAGGCAGGTGCCATCCGAAAAATCTAAATTTTCTAAAAATGTGCCATTTGTCCATTCAATGGCGGTTTCAATGCCTTTGCTCTGCCTCATTACTAATTGATCACTATTTCAAAACGTACAGGTGATAATATACAGCCTTGTATAACTCCAGTATTTACTTTCAAAAGTGTAGATGGTAGTTTTCCTTCAACTAGGACGCAGGAGCTTGCTTTGATATTTAATATTTTAAACAGTTTAATATTTTCATTGGAATGCCATAAATTGTAAGAATCAGGTTAGTGTATCTTTTGTGAGAGCATCGAAACAAAGGCATGGATGGAGAACCATGATCACCGATGTCTGTCGCAGATCTGGCACTTAACTATGATGCGAGCGTGTTCATATAATTGTTTACGAGTGCTACTTAAAAGCTTTACAAAAAAATACAACCCTACAACAAACAGAAACAAAACAAAATTTTAAAAAAACAGTCCGTGTTCTTTTCTCAGCTCTAGTCCGAGACGGCTCAATGAAAACGAAACCGCAATGTCTCGTTTCCAAATTGGACGCCATGCAGCATCCGATTGAGAGTCAATGCCCTTGTCGAGTCATTTTTATGTTTGCCTATGGTGCGAAAGGGGGGGGGGCAATTATTTTTTCCAAGCGCTTTCCTTCATGCCTGAAGCATGCATGTAGTGCCAAACAGGCTACTTTCAAAATAATCAATCCTGCTTACAGGAGGGAGATCAACTTACTCGTGTCAATATCAAACGCGTTTTACGTCACTCAGCTTACCTCTGAGGCAGCCAATCATCGTATCGAACACTGATAGCCATTGAGTTGGTTTTTTATTTTTTGTTTTGTTTAGTTTGTTTTGTTTCTGGTTTTTTTTTTTTTTTTTTTTTTTTTTTTTTTTTTACTTCTGAAAACTCCTTTTTCTCGTATGGAGGTCTGGCGTGATGGGGGTATATTTGGAACCACAACAACACGTTTGTTTGCAGTTTGCCGGTTGATGCTGCTGGGTCTTGTTTACGCTCAGTGTCAAAATAATTTTCTTAACCCCAAAACGCAGACGGTATTGCTAAAGATAGCAAAACCGCCACCATCGACAAGCATGGAGAGGCATACCACCCTTTATGTGTTGTTTATATATTTTTTGTAGCGCTGAAAAAGAATCAACGAGAATGATGTTCGTACATACAAGTGCTTAGAAATTGGAATAATATCAAGAAGTATATAATCACTATAGGGTAAGAAGGACTGTTTGTTTGTCACGTTTACCCTGATGCAGGGTAAAAAAGGTAGTAAAAATGATGTTGGTGAATAAAATGAGAAGTAAGTGGAACCTTTTTAGGGTTAATGGAGAGGATATAGTATGATAACCATGTCTGTTGTATGTCGATTTTTCAATGTTATGCTCAATTGTGCGGTGTGTGGTGCAGTTACAGAACGAATCAAAGTAGCAATCATTTTGACAAATCCCGTAGCACATCTCTTTTATAGTTATTTCCAATTCTCCTCCCCTACTCTTTCTCTTTCTCTCTCTCTCTCTCTCTCTCTCTC